AAACATTAGATAACAAAAATGCATTACAAATTGTATCAACAGGTCAAACTAACACGAAAGTACGATTTGAGAGTACTCGCAGTTCCTGAAAGCTAGTTAAAAGCAAAAAACAATTAATAATAAAAAATCATGCATCAGAGACTAAAATCAACTAAAACACATCCCAGGGATTTAGTGTTTTAACGTCAGGGACAGTCAAAAAAGACATGACTTGTGCAATGCCAAAATAAAAGTATCGAAAGGCAGTGGGATAGTTAGGATTTAACCTTTTAAATATGTATAATGTTATATATAGATAAAGTAATCTCTATATAGAAAATGAACGTGGATGCATGGAAAGGGGTCAAAATGAATTGACGGTACAATCTATCATTAGTTTGATAATTTCTTAAAAGAAAGCGGTGATATTCGACTTGCTGGAACAGGAACTGTATACCTTCCGCAGAACTAATGGTATCACCCGCTTTTGGGTCTACATCGATTTGCTCAGTCTGTGTAGATTATATAAAAAACTGTTTGTCTTTTCGTCGTTTTTTTTTTCTTTTTTTTTTTGTCCATGGAAATGTATGTTTTTATTCGGCTATTTACATGGACCTTTCGTATCAATTGCCTCTCTTTTCAACAGACATTATACTATCATACTTAGAACATTAGAACAAACTATCGTTATTCTTTACTTTAATGCAAATAATAAGGGTAAAAAAAAACAAGTTGAACAAGCAGATTTGTATAAAATACGTTACATCAGAACAGGAAAATATTAGTAAATACACGAGAAGATTTCTCAAAACAAGTAACTGAAACAAAAGAAGATCATTGTAGAATTGAGTGCGACTTATTACCAACGCTACGTGTACAACATAAACTATCTAAGGTGTTCACCTCTGATTGTTTGTATCACCATAGTGAGGAAGTCACATTCTCTTCCACATGATCTCCACACATATAATGATTTGAACATTTTATATAGTAAATAGATTCTCAAAGAGAGAAAGGAGTGTGTGCATATATTTAAATATGTTTCTCTCTTTTTTGCACCTGTTTATATTCACTGGATATGGATGAATAAAAGCGGACAACAACGTAATGTGTATGATCCAAAAAAGGATAACCATAATGTAAAGAGAGTTGAAAAATTCATTTTCGGCTTATTTGTGTTAAATATGCAAAATCCATGGATCTAAGATAAGATTATTTTATCTGATATTGAAGTCTTTGGAGCGTGTTAATGGTTTCTATTGGCTGCCTAAATTTAGAAATTCAATGTGATTCAGAATTATTAAACATACATTGTAGTATTTATAATATGTAAGTCTACAACCATGCCTTTGATACACATATTTAACGAAACATTCATTCATCACATTTAACGTTATAAATAAAGTCAATGTTGTATATAATTGTCACCAAAATTCATGTTTTGTGGATTTTCTTTCTCTTTTTGTACTATTTTAAAACTTTTACGTGTACTGTTTGATGGTACATTAAAGGCAGAAATAGTTTACCTATGTTAAAATTGCATAGTTTCATTCAGAACATGCAAATCAAAGTAGAAAAAAACAATGAATAAATCTCGTTAATCAATTACCAATAGACAGATAAAGGTAGCAAAACTGAGAGAATTGCATGAACTAAAAAAGGGTCAAGACCGGGTGAGTCCTCAAAGGTCGTTTCTTGTAATGCATACATCACCCATGTGAAGCCACATTCATTCAAAATATCACAATGATAAGGAAACTTACCCTCTATATGCGGTGCACTAGGGGTCAAAATAATGTATCTGTGCAGAATAACGGATCTAGAATTTGTGACTCAACGCGTCTCGTTACACGATATCGATTTACTGCTTGACGTTAAAAAGGCCGTCATTCGATCTATTAAAGAGTATGTAATGTTAAACAACGGTCAAACGATTTAATCTGTTGCTAATTAACATCACAGCAATGATTAAAGGGGCTTTAGAATCGAGATATAAATAAAAATTAAAATATGATTTTTGTTTTGTCCAATCATTAATGAAAGTGAAATAATGAAATAATAATTCACTTTTAGAAGCCAGTTTGGTTCAATTTTGTCAAAATAAGCTAAAAACATCGCTGATGAATTATTCACTTCGACCTCATTGGATCCGTATACATGTGACCTTCAATTTAACCCTTAGCTAGAGATGGGATAAATTAGGCGTGTTCAGTTATTAAAAGGAAAAGAATGTCAACTTTGAAAGTGAAACAAGGGTAACCATTTGATTGACTGATTCGATCCACAAAAACTAATTCTCATACAGGTAAAAACGATGATTAACATATATTTTTAACTTATAATATGAAATCAAACAGACCTAGAAAAATCCAATTGCACGAGTTCGCTATCTATTTATATCTATATTTATGTTCATATCGGGTTATTCTACCGTCGGCAGTCTTCGGAGGTCACATCGATGGTTAATAAGATGGCGTCTAGACTATATTACACACGAAATGTTGATACACATTATCGAGCCCATGCATTGTAAATTGTTTATTTTATACTTTTTATAATTTGGATATACGTTCAAGTATGTTATAAATCAAATCTTAGTATTTGAGTCAAATCGGTGAACATGATTTTGACAGCAAAAGCCCCTTTAAAGCAACACAAAACTCAATTCAAAATGTTGAACACCGAAAGAAAAAGTTTAAATTTCAATAAGTAGAAGGGTTCACATAAAAATGGAGATATTTTGTTTATTGAAAAAATATAAGAAAATGATATTTTCTCCCTCATGTGATTACTTGTCCGGGTTTGGCTATACTATTTAATTTTTTTCCCGTTATACAAGCCATTCATTAATTGTCAATTGTACATCTGTTGTAGTGAAATGGCTACAATTTATTATATTTGATAAATATAGAAATTTGGTTAAAATTTCCATTTTTTATATCGTTTTGCAATATTACCATGCAAAATTGAAAACACCGTTATGTGTTGTTCTGTATATACAAAGTTCGTATTTGCACTTCTAAATATCTAAATTTATTCATTTTGATTTTGTGGTGGGGTCTGTTTATAATTAGTTCATAAAAAATACAGTTGTGTGTTCACGGAAATCAGTATTATATATTTCTTTTACTATCTGTCAAAGATACCATTTATGTTCACTATGATATATCACATGTATCAGTAACAAAATGGTTTGAAAAGTGCAGAAAGACGCGTGTTTGCAATACCAAAGTTTCAGGGAATTTTAGAACAAAGAAATAACAATCATTGCAGTTGTGTTTCAAACTATGAATCATTCAATAAATATATATGACAATCCAAAAATCAATCAATTCGAATCAACATCAACAGTTATACTGATATTCTTTCATTTGCAACTAAGGGTCATCACATGAGTGTACGAACATAATAATACAGTCTCGACTTATAAGAGAATTATTCTGACATTATTAAGATTGTTGTACTAAGCATATCATTAAAACCTAATTTTTTTCTCTCAACCTGATGAACGTTAAACCGATCTGTCTTCAATATAAATTGACCTATCACAATGCAGTTAGAGTGTGTTTTCTCAAAAAAGTTCATCGGAAAGTACCAAGATCTATTAATAGATAAATATTCAGTGTCAATTTGACAAATAATACAGGATAGTCTTGAGTTATAGATTTCAGGTTCTGACGTTGTGTATCATTTTATCTATTTTACAGTTTTCCCATTAACTCTTCTAATAAGGATACGTCAGAATTTCTTGAAACCATATCCATCATGACAAGCCGTCTGCAGTAAATCCATACGTGTTGTGATTAATAGACTCTTAATTTGTCAGATTTCATGAAACGATGATATTGAACTTGGAAAGGTTTATTGTGAAATATATTTTTCTAAAATCATTTAAAGATACCGTCAAACCAAGGTACAATGTAAGCATAACCTTGAACGTGGCTATGATGTATGAATATTAAGATATAGATCCAAGGTTTTAACCCATATATACAAGATCACAGTATACATTTTCAAATCCAGTCATTCTAAACTTTAGGTTTGTGTTGTCTGTTTTGTGCTTTTCATAATAATACAGTTTTAGATTTGTTCGCAAAGGAAAATATTCAACTAGGTAGGACAAACTGATACACTGCCTATGTAAAGCAACAGGAACGAGCATGGTGCATTAAATCGGATCTGGTAATCAGTTTTTTTCTCTTTGAGTGCATAATGTTGGATCAGGTAAAGATTTTTACTTTGTAAGTGCATTACATATTCATAGAATAAAGGAAAAAAATAGGTGATTACGCAATAAAAAAATCAAAGTTATAAAATTAACGTAAAACATAAGAATCATGGGCTGAGCGCTAACAAACATGTTTAACCCCCCCATATTCTTTATGTGCCTGTCTAAAGTCGAGAGCATGTAGTTCAATGCTAGTCGTTGGTTTATGTCTGTCAAATTGGTTTTTCGTAAATAGTTTTGTTAAAAACCTAGCCGATAGTTTTCTCGTTTGAATTGCTTCACATTTTTCATTTTGGGACCTTTTATAGCCGACTATACGGTATGAAATTTTCTCATTGTTGAAGGACGTACGATGGCCTATATCCACTTCATTTGAGCTCTAATGTATTGTTTTCTCATTGGCAATCATATCACATCTCTTTATTTTTATATCACAGTTCTTTTTTCGAAAGGGTTGTTAAGACTGGGATACAGTTTGCCCTACTTCAGTATTGTTTCTCATTGGTGAAATTGAAAAAACTTATAACAAAACAATTAAAGCCAAGAATGTTTCAAATATGTTACTGGTGTTTCTGATGATGAACCAATATGGGTACCATTATTGAAAGAAAGAACATACGGGATAGACCGTCAAAATAAAATTACTTTTGTCCAGAGTAAGTGCTACCTTTCCAAAATAAACAACAACAGAGAAAAAAGGTTACCTCTTCAATGCCAGTAGTGTATGTAACATTATACATAACGAATGCTGTGTAAATTTCCTTAAAACATAAATAAAAAAAGGAAAAATATCTATCGTTTGATTGTACTACTTTATTATTGTTATTGTTAAGTAGGTTATAAAAATAAAAGTATCAATGAGAAATAAGTTCATTATTAATAATGAAAACTAAAAAAATTTTAACAAGTACCAAAGTTGTTTGAAAAATATGATAATATGTCTTGTCTTGTATTTCAATGATTTAAACATTTTCCTAAATGCTTACTATTCTTTTTAAGTTTAAAAATAAATAAATGCAAATTCTGCTTAAAAAGTTGATTCTACTTCTCTTAAAATGATGGCGAGTTAATATGAACATTGCAAAGAAATAGACGTACATGTAACAATGAAACATTACAAAAACATTTATTATCACAGTATAATTTAACAAAAATATTTGACTATTAAATAATAAAAACATAACAATATCTAAACAAATATAACAGTATAGTAACATAATAACAGATTACGTCAATTTTTGGTATCTATGAGTTTATCTAATATCATCTGCCCTTAATTTCTTGTTTGGCACAGACAGAAATCTGGACACGAGCTTTAAATGAATTGTCCTAAAGTAACAAAAGCAAAAATAGGTAAGAAATAAGCAGATGTATTATTCGCAACTACTGATTCTAAAAAAAATATATTGCTAAATGCTATGTGAACTTATTTTTAAATTGCTGAAAAAATCATCGTAATAAAACTATTTCTTGCTTCAAAAATGCACCAAAAAAGGAACTTCATATTTACGTCGTCACTATTTCTAAATGTACTTATTCTATATATTTGCATTCATGAACGTTGTCAGAAAATCCTGATATGATATTTTTCCAGTCATGTTATGGTCAAATTCAGAGAGGATATGGTAAAAATCTTCATTGCTAAAGCTGACTTTGCAGCTTGTCAAAACCTTTTTGAAATCCATTACACTGAGATAGCCTCTGTTTTGACGATCTATCTTTTTAAATGCTCGCTTTAGATTTCTGTGTTCATTCATCATCTGTAAATATAGAATATTAATATAACAATAAGTTGTAGGTAGTTGCTATTCTTACATAAACATAGATTCAAAAACAATATGTGCATCGGTATTATAAATGTATAAAAGTTATACAAGTTGAATATCAATTTTGTAAATATTTACTGATATAATACTGAATTAAAAAAATATATACTGATCCGAAAGTACAGTAATCACTGCATGTACATTCCTTACTGTACAAACTGCAAATGTACAGAACAGATTTTCTCGTACGATAATGAAAAGTCAATTTTTACCATACTAAAATGAATCAATTTGATCTCTTTATTTTAATATTACCGAGGTCTTTATCATACTGGTTTTAGTCCTTACTGTTTTGGCTCCTGCTTATCACTTAATTGAATCATATGTCTGTTCCATTATACTTTTTATGTATATCTTAAATTTTATCATTGTATTATTCACGGTGTTTTCTAATCATTACATGACAAGACGATTGTTCATATTCAAAAAATTAGAAAATACTTTTTTTAATTTCATAAAAAATGTCGTTCAATGGTCACGAAATAAAATATGTACAACCTATCGGACAGTTGTTCGAGAGCTTGAAAATCAAAAGCGTTTAAAATCGATAACAAGTATATTTAAAGTAGACATACATCTCAAGTCTATGACAAAGTCTCATACAAAATGGAAATCATTACAGCTCAGCTACTCTTTGCAGGCGTTAGCATGTCTCTTGAGTGAAAAATCGTATAAAAGCGATGTTCATCTGCCTTTATAAGATTTTTATAATAACATTAACGGTATGAATTTGTTAAAACCTTTCGGAATTTTGGGTCCTCAATGCTCTTAAACTTCATACTTTATTTGGCCTTTTTAATCTTTTTTTTTAATCGAGCGACACTGGTGAGTCTTTTGGCGTACAAAACTTTAATCCTGGTATCTATGATGATTTTATTTACTACACAAGATCCGCATTTCGACAATAATTATCTTTCAGCGATGCTCGGGCCAAAAATATAGAAAAATTTTATAACAATATTTTAACGTTTATGTTATGAATTAATACACAATATCCGTTTTCTTACATAAAACAGTTACGTAATTTCTTCGATACATATGTACATATGTACAAAAGTACAATTAAAATTATCTTTTCATTCAAACGATGTTCAGAGATTCAACAAATCATGCAATTTTAAAAACGAAATAGTATAGCAAGTACAAGCAGTCTCTACAAAATAAATCCTTACGTTCATTAGAAAACGACATGTCAACAAAAATAAAAAGAGTCAAAGTAGCAATGGTAGTCGAGGAGTACATTTATGTATGTTAAAATGAAAAGCTACTGCAAAATATAACGAATGCAAATATGACCTTCTTCACATTTCCGGATCAAAAATAGTAATTCATTGTACAAATATTGTATACTTTGAATTGTAACTACGGTTAGAATCTTTCCTAAAAAGAAAAACTGTGTACTTTCTACTGGAAATATATGTATGTTTTCGATTTAAAGATAAATAATAGAATTTCCATACTATGTAACAGAAAGTGCACACTAATTGTGCCACTGTTTGTATACATTCATTTTACATGCATAAATCTACGAAATAATACAGTGTCATTTTTGTCTAATAGTATATGAAGCTGCATTCATTAGTCTATGTGGCTAAACAGTATCTGAGATTTTGCACTTAAATGCTAAGAGCAGAGTTATATATAATATAAAAATCATGCATAAAAATGATATGTATAATGCATTAATCACTATGCTTCGACTAGATAATAGAAAGTGTCACCTTCTTTCTCATATTGTTTATTACTTGTGCAACAGTGGCTGATCCTATGTCCCGTTGCTGTTAATAATTATGAATATATGTCAGATCATAAAGCAAGCACAATGGTGCAAATTAGCATGTTCAAACCAAACATAATGTTATAAATATTAACAAATATTGTATATAACTTAAAATTCACAACCACACCTAACGTTTATTTCTTCAAACTGTTAAACTAGGAGTTTTTACTGTGTTCTTATAATAGGGTAAGGAAAAATGTTCTCTAATTTATCAACCAACATCACACAGTTATATTGTGGGATCAAATACCAGGGACTGTTACAAGAGTAGGACCCACAAGGTGTTCATTTACATAGAAAAAATGTTCTGATGCTGTTTTTCAAATATTTAAACTCTATATATAAAATATTCATAAACGATATTTAGACTCAAAGTATAGTGAAACGCATTTTCAAACTGAAAAAGACAACACATATGTTGTACTACAGAGTACAAATACCCAACATCCCCTCCAAGGCACAAGAAATCGACCCCGGTTGTGGTGGGGTTCGTGTTGCTCAGTCCTTGTTGTCGTTTTATGTGTTTTGCTATGAATTTTAAGGTATCTTTTCGACTTATGAGTTTTGAGTCTGGCTTTGGTATATTAAGTCTTTTCCACTGAATTTATTTTGCTATCTATGTTTCACTTATTATTATGAATAAGAAATTAAACAGCATCAGACCATTGACTCTTTAAATAAATAAACTTTATTTACCTATGATATGAAGGTATGTTGATCATTAATGTAAATACTAAATAAAAATAAAGAAAGGTAAAATAAACAACATCCAAAGTGAATTGATACTGATAATTGTAATTTCTAAATATCCAAAAATCAAGTATGTGAATGACATTTGAAAACGTGAACACTTTCTCCATCTATTAAGGTCTGTTTAAGTTTTCCGAAAGACAGGTTAGATAAACTCTTTGAAAGGCAAATTATTGAAAACACAACTTTATAAATCTACATTTAGGTAAGCTATTAAACAAATAGGATACAAATTGTGTAGCTTTTAATTCTGACATTTTCTAGGAAACTGTTCACATTTCTGTTCATAATTTATAACATATATATATGAATGAACATATACATATAGCATTTGATCTTTAAGATCGTGATCAGAACTACCTTGTTCCGTGCAGCAACCTGCAGAAGTGATTAGTCATCATTTAGCAACAATAGTCATAGCAGTGTGAATCACACATTTCAATCAAATGTTTAACTTAATATAAACATTATTTCAAACCGGCAAATTTTCTTTTTACTTACAAAGAAATCGTAACTTGCTAAAGATTTTGCTACTTTTATGTAGCAACCTAAAGGTGAACAAGATAAAAAGCTTAGTTAGTTTGCAAGAAGACAAAGTAATATCCCGCCATTAACAATATTACATATGTATTGTCATAATGTCGAACTTAAAGAAAAATAGGTTATAGATTATGTATAAGAATTAAACAAAGGAAATCCATGAAGAATAACCAAAGATTTAGACCATTTAAGTTCTTTATTTGTTTCTTAACAAATACAGAAAAACAAAAAATAAGCATATAATTACAAAATGAATATAAATCTACAGACGTGGATTGTATTTTTGTATTGTCTAAACCACTTTGAATTAACATTTAATTTAGCCAATCAATGTTTTATGTGATGTCCATGTTTTGTGAAGTTCAACTTGACTTCATTATATGTTTAGGGCTTGTAACAGACACAGTAGAGGTGTACTTACTTTTTGCTCTAGTTTGTGTGCATGTTTGCTGTAGACAAGGGTTTTGTAACGTGACGCTGGTACTGGTCTATGTGAAAAACATTTCATGAACTCCAAATAATGAAATCTGTAAAAAACAAATCAAAATACAGAACACTGTAAAAAACAATGATGACTTATCCAAAGGACTGCAATGTATTTGTATATAATTACACATTATGCTGACAAATCACGTGTTCCAAATAATCTCACCAAATAGTGATTATCATCAGTCCTTTTCAGTATATGCATGAAATATATCTGTTAAATCAAGGCGACAGCAGCTTGACGATTTTTAAAATCTGTAAGACCAATCAGTGCAACAAACAAAACCAGTAAGAATCTCGTTAACTCCAAAAGGAGCGAAACCAGTGTGTCAACAGGGTAAGCGTCTCCTAATGTGCATGCATCACCCGCCAGTCGAACTCACTCTCATGCAAAATGCCACAATCGGTAATAGGACACAATCGGTTAAATTACAGATCATACTACTATACGGGTTTCTACAGATTTTAGACGGCAAAAATAAGTCGCTAGTAAGTTAACACAATTATAAGAGAATGATAATATATGGTTTGCATTAGGTAAATTATATTAGATTATTGTTCTGCTGATGATATTTACATAAAAGTATCAATATTTTATTATTTATCTTATTCCAGAGATGAATTTATATCCAACTGGTATATAGCTGTTTATTTAACCGTAAAACATCGAGAACATTCTAAGCTAAGTTGAATGTTGAATTTGAGGCAACAGTGGTCATAAAAGAAAAGAGAATGGAAACCCAAATACAAGAAAAAACTGCGAAAATTACATGAACTCCAAAAGAAGCACGGGTTTGTCGACTTCCCAATCGGTTGTATACTTAATCGCAAGCCGTCTGTGATATATATGGAATGCAAACTTTCACTTAAATGAGAATTTAAGCAGGACATCGTCAATATATCTGAAAAGTTAAAAAAAAAAGTCCATCTAGTGTATATATTGTTGAAATCAGTGTGCTTCTTCGAGGAGAGGACTTTAATTCTCCTCCAACAGAGGACTTTGTGTCTTCGATTCCCATTTGTATTAAAAAACCTGTGACACAATGTAGATGATTTTTTAATTGAGCTTGGGGACTACCAGATTACATAGAACGTAGACAAATTTAATTTTTTCATATTACTGAAATGTTCTACAGATTGTGATTGAATATTTTGGATATTTAGACTCTTTAATAGTCTACGTCTAATTGATACCTCTGGTTGAATATGCCTCATCACCATATTTCTGAAGGCCATATTTTATAGAGGGAAGAATGATTGTACGAACGTTGATGGCAGTATAAATCAAGTACGATATGTATTTAAAAAAAACAATGCTGCGGACAGCACCTCTCAACAATTTATAGGACACAACGTTTTCCTAAATAGAATTACCTTCCATTTTTCTGTAAATCAAACCTCAGTATTAATTCCTTCAGTTCTTCTGCTGATAGATTAAACTTCATTGACTCCATTACTTCCTGTAAAGCAGAATGTTAGGAAAGAAGTTCTTGTATTTCTATCGTCTATCAAAGTTTATGTTTGTGACATATAATGCCTTTCCAATCATCTGTCGTACCAAAGTTAACTGCCTAGTAATTTTGATGTTTTTTTTTTCAAATGATTAGAAATTTCTATGATTTGTGATACATTTTACTTATAAGTATTGCAAAAACGATCAAATCTAGAAATTTAGCCAATGAACATAGTAAAATACTTCCCCAAAAATGAACAAAGTAGAATGACATGATGTATATTAATGAAATACAGTAAAGAATATTGTTTGCAATTTTCCAAGTCAAATACTGCGCTTATGGTGAAATACAATGTATGAAGTGTTAAACAAATTGATATGCCAAGACATACAGTATAGTAATGGGTAATGTTTATTCCCGAATAAGGCTCTTACCGTTATTTCATTATAGTTAACTGTCGCACAACCATTCTTGTCTATATATTTGAATACAGATTTCAGTCCCTCCCAATTGCTAATTACCTAAATGCATAAAATACAAAACAAAATTATTTAAATTATCAATAATTCAAATACTATACGCCATTGTGTTATTGTGCTATGGTCATTTTTGTATTCTTGTCTTTCATTTTTGCTTATTTACTTTGTCTATAGAGTGTTTATATGCAATTTTGTTTTTCTTTGTTGACATAGTTATTTGTTTTTATAGTGATTAAGATTATATCACAATGTTGACTGCTGTACCCCAATTTTTGACATTTTTACCTATTATGTCTATTTGTTTTGCTCACACATTGTTGTCAATATAATAAGATTTTATGCGACTGTCATATAAGTGGGAGGTCTAGCTAGCTATAAAACAAGGTTTAATCCAACATTTTCTTCATAAGGAAATGCCTGTAACAAATCAGGAATATGACAGTGTTTACCATTCGTTTGATGTGTTTGAGCTTTTGATATTGCCATTTGTTAAGGAACTTTCCGTTTTGAATTTTCCGTGGAGTCCGGTATTTTTGTTATTTTACTTTTTATTACAGACAAAACGCCAAATGTGAAGGAAAACGTTATGAAATCCATAAAACCTTGGTTTTAAAATATTTTTTGAACAGTTATTATAATGATTTAAAATCAGTTTTATTATAAGCCAAAATGTACATTGCACAACTTATAAATACTGAAATATTTGTCGCATATAACATATCAATTAAAAGTTCATTTTAAAAATATTTTTCATAATCAGACTAACTATATAAAATCAGTAGATATTTACTTACGTCGGGTTTAACCTTAACTAATAAGTCTTTTGTACGAACACTCTTCACTGATATTGCTGAGGATGGTGCGGTTTTCTGAAGTTCTGGTTCAACCTTTTCTATAGACGCATGGGTTTCGTGTGCTTTCTTCTCTCTTCTTTCTCTCTGGACCTGATGGGCCCTCTCTACAGCTTCTGTAGTGTCCTCTGTGAGAAAATTGCGATCATCTAATCATAAAACATATTTTGTTTTATTCACTTCTTTCTTGTTAACTTATTTCAGTTACGAAAATAACTAAGTATTCTGCTGATTTAATACATTATATTAACAGGTTAATTATCTCATGTGAAAAGAAACTCATCAATTTATGTAATTTTCATCATAATTGACGTAAGACACGCAATAGTTAAATATGAATATTTGGATCATCATTGATTGTAACCAATAATCGTGAAATTGTGTATTAAAGATGATTCCTTTCAACGACCTCTAAACAAAAGAGAACGTTTAAATAAAATGAAGATAAGAAATTATAATGCCAATATGAAAGAAACCAACATAGAAGTTTACAAAAGAGGAAATCTAGAGGTCCGGATATTTGGTTTCAATTTAGAACATATTTCCATGACATGCAGCAAGTAAATCCAGCCAAATTGTGAATGGTTCAATCAATAAAAGACCACCATACACCCCTCATTTGCACACGATCCACACATGCAGGATTATAATATCAACCAAATATTGTACTCTGCATTAATATTGTTTTCTTTAATTCTAAGCAAATTCACCCTTTTCCTGAACTGTTGACTTTTTTTATCTAATCAACGTGTGGTTCCTTTGATCTCAGTTCTTCATTGGTCGAAAGTCAATTATGACGTCAAATTTTCATGCGTTCCCCTGAATTTCCTATTGTAACGTCACGAAAAAAGGCGACCATGCCTGATGACGTTACACAGAGAGAACACATCATTTTGCAGATCAATAAGAAAAAGAATTTATTTTGTCTGCATATCGTCTACAAATCCTCAGAGAAACAGGTTCTACAACCAAATTTCGTACAATACGATATTTCTCCATTCTCGACAGTTAAATTTTAAATATTTAACTGTCTCGAGTGTAGAAATATCGTATCACAGTCGATGAAGTGGTAGAATCTATATTTAACTCACCAATTAAAACATTTTCTGCTGTTTTATTTTTATTTTTAAACTGTATAAAATGTCGTATAAGTGCACTGTAGCTGTACATTCCATCATTAGCGATACTGAGTGTGGCCCAAACTTTGTCAAGTTCCTGTTGGTTCATTGTTAATCCACATCTGTAAGTAATATGAATGAAATTAATGTGACAAACCTATATAATCACTTACTTCATTAGTGAAGTTGACTTAACTAACAAATCAATTAAAAACACGACAAAAAAAAAACCAAACCCCAAAAAAAACAAACCCCAAAAAAACCCTATAAGAATCGCATAAAGACAAAAAACGACACGTCTGTTTTCTCAATTGAATTGTTTCATATTTCTAATGTCAGGGCCTTTTATAGCCGACTATACGGTATTGGTTTTTCTCATTTTTGAAAGCCGTACCGTTGCCTATAATTGTTTACATCCACTTTATTTGAAGTTTGGTTGATAGTCTCATTGGCAATCATACCTCATCTCTTTATTTTTTCATTTATCTTTGGTGAGTTTTTTTTAAGCCATATAAAAAATAATTCGATGACGTTATTTGGTTTGGCTAGCCATAAAACCAGGTTTGACCCACCATTTTTTCTTAAAATGTCCTGTACCAAGTCAGGAATATGGCAGTTGATATCAAATAGTTCGTTTCTATGTATGTTAGCGTTTGTTTTTGTTGCACTTCAGTGTTTCTGTTGTTCCTTTGTTTTCCTCTTATAGTTGATGACTGTTTCCCTCGGTTTTAGTTTGTAACCCGGATTTGTTTTCTCTCAATCGATTTATGACTTTTGAACAGCGGTATACTACTGTTGCCTTTATTTAAAAGATGCTAATTTTAGCAATTATTCCTCGCGACGACGTAAAGCAACATTTAAAAAATAATATTGCTATAAAATTTGTAACACAATCATATTCGATTTAATTTAACAACTTCATGATTAGATAATTAATTTTGATATATGATGAGAGATTTTCATGTTTAGACCTTTTCACGACTTTCCTGTTAGAATACATTCTTATTGTTCGTCATAAAGAATTTTCTGATGACGGATATTTTTTAAAAGTCTACATTTTGAAATTATAAAGAAGTTAAAACAGTTTTTTTAAACCCCGCCGCATTTTTGCGCCTGTCCCAAGTCAGGAGCCTCTGGCCTTTGTTAGTCTTGTATGTTTTTTTAATTTTAGTTCATTTATATGTTTTGGAGTTTAGTATGACGTCCATTTTCACTGAACTAGTACATATTTTTATGTAGGTGCCAGCTGAGAACCATCTCCGGGTGCGGGATTTTCTCGCTGCGTTGAAGGCCCATTGGTGGCCTTCGGCTGTTATCTGCTCTTTGGCCGGGTTGCTGTCTTTTTGACATATTCCCCACTTCCATTCTCAATTTTATTATGACACAATTTCACCATAAGTGAACATTTTAACACGTGAAATCATTTATAAATGACTGTTTCATTCATCATTTATTAGTAAATTATAGGGTTAAAAAAGTCTTCCTGTCACACCTACTTTTGTGAATTTGAACATAGATTGCAACCTCCGATATACATGTCGTTGAGTATAACTTACAATTTGATCAATGCTCCAAACTGCCATTTACTCATTCTTCCCATCATTTTCCTGTCCATTTGTTTGAAATGCTGTTGAAAAAAAAAACATACAATTTTTTATTACACAATTTAAAAAAAAATATAAACAAATATTATAAATGAATTGTTACTGTTTGTCGTTTTTTGGAGTTTAGCGTTGAGCGAAATATACCAACTTCACCCGCGTATGGCGTATACATTTCTCAGCTCATTCTACATTCAGGAGCTCGCAGCTGCTACTCAGACTTTTTAAAATGTCATCGGTGTCTAAGCAAAATAACAATGAGCCAGGGTTTTGTCAAAGAACGCCTCGTCTTTTTTCTCAAACAATTCATCGGAAAGTACCAAGACCTAATAGATAAATATTCAATGTCTTAGAACTCCACAAAAACACAACATGGTTTCTTTTTGTGATATGACTTTTGACGTGCATACCGCTATCGTGTTTTTGACTATAGGCGTTCCAGGCGCAGATGGGTCCTGATATGCAATTCGGACGCAAGTGGTTTATACTATGGTGTTTCCATTTTGGTTACCTTTGTTTTAATATTTTACTAAACTTGTACTTTTTCGAGAAAGTGTATACTATATTTGGTATGTACTATCAACTAACAAAAACTTTTTAGTTGACGTCATTTTCAATTTAACTATCAACTACAACTTTTTTGTTGGCGTCTTTGTAAGATTTAGTTGTATAATAGAAATGAAAGGATATGGGGTATCCATCCATGTATGTTTGTTTGAATTCTGTAGTCACTTGTGTTGTATGTCTGTGGTGTATGTTTACTCAGTTTTGGATCCAAATTATTGTTGTTACCCAAGGTTGTCAATATAACGGAACTATAAACAACTGCTATACAAGTGGGAGGTTTTGCTAGCTATAAAATCAGGTTTAACCCACCTATTCCTTCGGAAATGCCTGTTCTCAGTCAGGAATATGACAGCTGTTTACAATTCGTTCTATTGCTTGATAACGTTTGATTTTCTATGGACTGCCCCTTTTCAAATTTACCTTGGAATTCGGTATTTTTGTTATACTTTTTCGATAGTTTCTGCAAGTTATATTCATTCACTACTTTTCCAAAATCGCGCAATTAAAAAATGAACATAATGAACAAACGATTATTGAACATTGCAAACTGGTGTAAGTTTGAAAGTTAGTTGCTGTGTGACTCTTTTATAAATTTAGAAGATAATTAATGTAGATTTTCTAAACTATGTGAATAGAAATAATAAGATGACTTGTTATATTAAAGTGTTAAAAATGAACAATAAGGTGTAATACAGTAGTAGATATCTTAATCCAGGTTATCAGCATTATAATGTACCTTATCAAAAGTGTGGAACTTATTTTTGAACAATTCCTCTAGCAGTCGTTTGAGCTGAAATAAAAAAAAATACATTCTGTTTGGATATATCTAGCTAGTGCTGGTATTTCACATATGACTGCTTATACAAATGTTCACTATCAAACTAGCGATGCATGTCCAAATGTACAACATCATTTATAAAATATTTCTGTAAATAGGGTCACATGTTTGTAGAGTTTTCATCCTGTCTTCTCTTCGTATTTGGTAATTTCCAAACAAAACTTATTCTATATATTCAATACGGTAGACATACTTTTCTGTTCCGTGAGATGATTGAAAGACATAAAAAGATAATGACTACATGTAATCCTGAAAAGTGTCACATATTTCTGCTGCAAAATATAACAAACTGGATATTTCATCTGAAGTAACCGACTTCATTTCTAAAAACTTAAAAATACTTTTATTGCAACTATGGTAACATTTAAGAGCAACTTATCACAAATCAGAAAATTTTAAATAAACTGCTAAACAATATTTACCTCTACAATTGTTCTATTTCCTGCACCATCTATTTTTAGTTTATCCACCTCCTTAAATGATATAGACGTCTTTGCCTTCTCTTTCATTAACAGTTCCACTGCTGCTGGTGTTGGCATATCTGACTTTACAACCTTAACAACATCTACCCCTCCTTCCTGCTTCTTATTCCATGATCCGGGCCTTTAAAATATAGATATTGGAAGTAGACATAAGAACAAATCATAAAACATGCAAACAAATTACGTTTTTAATAGTACGTTGACTACTAGTATTTATGTAAACTTTTTAGTTTTATGCCATTTGTGTTTCCTGATAATAAGTAGTAAATGGATGAAATGTTTTTTTTTATTTGTTTGGCTATTTACAGACTTAATTTAAATATTATCGCATCATTTATCCATTTGTTATCGAAAGCGCGGTAGGTATATATATTTCTTAAATAATTGTGGCCTTAAAGGGAATCTTACAGTATGATCAACTTTATCATAAGCCATGCAAGTTTAATGTTTCTTTTTGGGACACCAACACACTATAAATTTACACTTCTATTATACAAATGTGCTAAGTGCTGTGAGGAACAAATCGTTACATCAAGATATTGCTAAAACACACCCCTTAACAGCTGCTCTCTGTACAATATGAGTGCTATTACACAGTGTATATATCCACATACCACATATATTATGTCCAGACATTTTCTAAATACCTTTTTTTGGTTGCTTTGCTACACAAGAAAATGTTTAACAGAATTAAAGTTGTCATCACGAGATTCAGAATACAAGAAATTTTAAGTTTAACTTAGCAACATCAAGATATCTGAAACTGCTCTTTTTCATCTAATTTTCATTGACTTTCGTTTTTCAAATTTATATTTAGTAACTCGGCCTCATGTTATTTTATTCTTTCCATTGCATCTATTGTGTATATTGATATCTTCTTAGCTGCATTATCCATTGTACTTCTACTAGTTTTTGTATATATTATCAGGGGAAAGGAAGGGTTCATTTCAAGAAGCAAACATGTAGCAATTTTCACATTAGTTACTCGCTCAAGATTATTTCATTGCATTTAATTGTTATATATTGCGTCATAAACGAATCTTTTATAATACATACATTACGTCGAAAAGTTGGAGGAATTTGTTGTAAGGTATTAGACCATCTGCATCTTGTCCGACATCAGTTTTCAGTTGTTCCCACTGTTTATCGGACATTGTGTAACCAAGTCTCTTCTCTAAAGCACCACGGAACTCATGAGGGGTAATTACACCCAAACCATACTTATCGCAAGATCTGAAAGCAAATACCAATACCAATAAAACTTATGATATTCTCGGTTATATTACAACAGATATATCAAATAAAAAATGAATTATTTATATTAGTTAATCGGGAAAGAATTTATTGCACATTCTAGGTATGAACACAGAAATATCTATTTCAGAAAACAAATATTTTAACATGTGATGTAGTGAAGGAGGGGGAAATCATTATGTGAGTTACAAGTTTTATGACATATATAAGTTCACTGTGTAAATACACACATTAATCTACATCGTTTTCATTTTGCAAAAAGCTAGGTTTCAAATGATCAGCTGATCTTTTTATTTAACAAGTAGTATTCCTCTTGTTACACGAATTTAATGTGTCTAAGTCATGATCAAACAAGTTGAAAGTTGTATCACTCATTACAGAACCTTGGATCGTTTGGAGGTCGGTTCTAATCCATTATTCTATGATTCTGTACGGATTCAAAATTAGATTTGTTGAACTGTACAGTAAATAAGGGTACATTTACAAAAATAAATAACCATATGCATAAAAAACAATGGTTGCAATTCCCTCAAACAAGATTAATAGTTTAACCCTATTGAATATGACGATTTTAGTTTATTTTTTTTCAAACGTGTAATATATCGGTCTTATGAAAACTTTTGATCTTTAGCGTCAGAAATGAAGATTGTTCAAGTATTGTATTAGAAACTGTGGTTATAAGTTGCAGATATTTTGGTGATTTCGTGTGAAAATAGACAGGTGAGGTCTAATATAATAAATTTACGCTTACAATAGCAAGATTTTAAAATAATAATTTAGCCACTCACTTCAAATAGCTCATGAGCTTGAGAAAATCTCCATGGAAATAATCCACAAGTTTGGCTTCCATTTCCTCTACGCTTAAATTGCTGTTTGGCAATGGTTGTGAATCATGTTGAAATCTTCAAAAAAACAAAACGAAACTAAATTAAACGGTATAAGTTGACATTGAACTTAACATATGAAGAGTACGATCTGAAAAATCTTGATTTTTATAAAATTACTGTAATATTCACTTCTTTCAGTGTACATTGTATTTCAAATTATTAATGTAATATCAATTTGCAGCAATATCTATGTGAGTAAAGTCAGAAATTGAAAAAGTTTAACGTATGATTACATTAGAAATTACCGTTTGATATAAAACAATAAAATTATCTCCTTACAATAAAATAGTCTTTATAAAACATACAATATAGAATATTCAGAATGGTTCCTACCGTTGTTATCTTTAAAACATATACATTGTTTATTCGACATACCTTACTTTCATATTTATTTTTATGGTTGTTATATTTATATTCGATAAGTTTATATTCCTCTCATGCTTCTTTACTGAATGACCAATAACAGAAAAATGTAATGGATTCATCACTACTTTGGCCATTTCACACTAATTTTTACACAGTGAATTACATATGTATATCCACATAACACTTCCAAGATACAATGAATAAAAAAGCAAGCAAAATTCTATGCGATTTTTAACACACTGTATGACAACTGTTACAATGTTTGATCTTTCTGAACGTATAAAAATAATTCAGAATGGCCAAAATGAATTATGTTTATCCTTTTCGATATGCACATCATCGCTGCTATCATATTTACTTATAAAAATCTACACACAGCCATGATAATGCAAAATCCATTGAAAATCAATATTGATCATTAATACAATTTCTTGTGAAACACGGTATCCATTACAACAAATGACGTGTTATGACAACTTGAACAGCTATGCTAAATGACTGTGTGGCTCTTAAACGGTCTAATCAATAACCTTGATTGAAAGCGTTCATAATTAAAAGAGATTAAGATTCGGAAACAAAACTGATTAAGAAGTGTGAGGATGTAGTAATTTATATATTTTTTTCAACTGAAGGAGAAAGTTGACTAAATATGAAATCAGTAAAACAATTTAACTAGATGACATTTTAAATATTCAGTTTAAAGTATGAAATATCATGATAGCAACAATTTTGTACTTTTATTTACATAAAAATCATTTTGTAACATGTTTATGAAATAAGATGTTGACAGCCGCATTTGGTTTTCTAGCTTTTACCATTATTAAAAATCTACCATAAATTTTCTATCTAAGAGGTCAAGTTATACAAAACATACCTGACCAGTAGCAAAACTGGTCATTTTAACTTCTAGCGATGCTACTATTACTCTATATAACTTTACAATAATATCATGCTACTGAGTGACTATAAACTACGTATGATAGTATGGCAAAAAAGAGAGTAATTTTTACTGCAAAGAAGTAAGCTATGAACTATGAAGCAAGGTAATGTAGGCTTGTACAATATCTTCTCAAAGCAACTCAGTCACTATAAAAAAATTCAATTCTGTATGCAATTTAAAGCGGTCATTCAAAATGTCAGATTTCGTTTGTTCGCGCAAAAGCAAGCTTTCAGACAAAACGAACATGAAGCAAACATACATGAAGAATGATTGAATATATGATCATTTAAAGCGTATTTACTACTTAATTTTCCGATAACAATAAAAAGAGTCTAAGACACGATTTCTCTATTATATGATCTGAATTATTAATGAAGTTGAAACAAAGGGCGATGTTTCACACTACTTACATATGGGATTGGTTTGTAACAATTCTGTTTGTCATACTGTTTTCTGACTTGCTCTGATACTTGTACAAGAATTCCTTGTAGTTCAGTTGACCCCTTATAGATCTTATACTGGCCCTACAGAAGCATAGAAAGGAAGAATTAAAAGGGATCAAGTGTAGTGTGTTTTTAATTCTGTGTTATATATGCATTATGGAGTTGATCGCTCTATATTTGGTTTCTTCGCAAAATTGGTAAAATAAAAACATGAAAGATGAAAGGCTCTAAACATATGCTTCAGAACAAATATCACTGAATCGATACAATTACATTAAGAAAAATGTTTTTTTCCTCGATCAATGAATACCATAATACATATAAAATTAATTGTAGAACCTGAGCAGTATGTAGGTATGCTTTTCATTATCAAACAAGAATTTAAATACACAACTCGTTAAGCAACACGCGTTGGTGTTAAAGCTTTCAAATAAGCAACTGTAAACTTTTTGGACAATAACTGCTCAAGTCTATGCATTCCTTGCCAGAACAAAGTGATTTAATTCCTATCACCAATCACAATGTTGCAGCAATTAATGTCACATTACTATAACTTACATTATAAGTATCTCCCTCGAATAGCAAGTTGGATCAGTAAGCATTCCCCATATAATTATTATGTGCTATATTGTGTGTACTACCTTTCTAAGAACCATCCCTTCTTTTCTTAATATTCATTAAAAGTTTAAATGCAAGTATTGAGACAAATATTGTCTTCATGGAAAAAAAGCGTATTTAAAACCTTTGAAAAACGCTTTAAAAATGAGATTAATTATTTTTTTCATGAGAATATTAAGACATTGTTTTACATTACCTTTCTTTAAAAATATATTATTTTGTTGTGTTTGTCAATACGCTTGTCGAAAAACCACTATTGGAAACATTTTTACATTGTAAATCTTTTCAATAGATTTCTATCATCCTTTACTGTCGAAGGTAGGTTTTTAGAAAGGTCCACGCACGTGTGAAATAGTAAGATTATTGTTGTTTTATACAGAAGGGTATTTGTGGTGGATACCTGATGTCGACAGAACTAACGGACTTATGTGTTGTTTTTGTTTCCACACTTATACTTGTATTTCCTACACTAACGCATCTTTTATCCTGGTCGATCGTTTTCTCTGTAACCTTTTCTGACATTCTACTAAAGCATCTATTTCCGACAATCGCACTTGATGTCTGTTGGCTTTCTTTTCTCTCTCGCATTGCTTTCGCCATTTTGTTAAAACTTGAGTTTCCAAAGTGAGCTGTCTTTTTCCGTTCGGTTACGTTTTTCTGGTGTGAATTAGTTGATTGTCTATTTAAGATATTAGAGTTGCCAATGTGCACATTTGAGTCACTCTCTTCTAATTCAGTCCAAGCAGTTTTTCTGACTCGACTTCCAACATCAGCATTCCCCACTGTAACATTTCTCTCTTTTTCCTGAACTGTTTTCTCTGATAATCTATCCATGGCAGTGTTTGCACTTCCTTTAAGTCTCCCGCCAAATATACTTTTGAATGTTTTACTCAGTGTTTTATCATTTAGTTGTTTTGAAAGTTTTTCAATACTAAAATGTGTGTAAAAACAAAAAAAAATGTTCCACATTATAAAATTAATATCCTTCTTTTCATTCATATTATCTTTAGAAATATTTTACTCTTGTCAATTGCAATATCAGACTCTGGATATATGTCTTCATAATTAGTCAAATCTATCTTAATAGCTTGATTTTTGTGTGGCTTAGAGTAAATGCATTTGGAATATCATATCAAGAATAATAAACAAAAAGGAAGATATAAACATCAAATCAAAATACAAAGTTTGTGTTTTAGTCACTGTTCCATCATATATATCCATAAATACATTTAAAAATTCACTGATTATTTCCCTTAGACTGATTAGATAAATATAAATCGTTATATTGGCCTAAAGATACTTTGTGTGCAAAGTATTTTATTTTAGTGTTTAGACATTTCATCATTTTAGAAACAAAATACAGAGCTTTAAAATATTAGCATACTGTAAAACTTTAACTTGTAAATTCTTTAGCGCTAAAAATCGCTTATATATGACAGCCGCAATTATATCTGGCAGAGCATTGATATCAAACTTACCTAGATAAGAAATGATCTAAATCAGTTATAGAAATGTTAAAGCCAAATTCCTGTAGAACACGCCTAAAGTCTACTCTGGAAATATATCCATCACTCAAGTGGTCAAATAACTCAAATGCCGTTAATATTGCGTTGTATGATTCTTCAAACTGGAAAAAAATATCACAATAGAGATATTATATTGACAACATTCCACTAATCTTGAATGCACCATGGTCGCCTACATTTTTATTTTACAAGATATTGAATAGACTATTTTCATATTACCGACTTTTGACTCCGGATTATATAATTTGTCGACTGGTTACCTTGGACATCATAGTACTCGGTCAAGTAAGAGCAACCAAAATAAGTAAAATCAAACATATAATCGGTGTAATTTGAGGGGAAAGTTTACTGTTTTCCGATGATTTTGTAGTGAACAAAAAATGTTAAGCAGGTAATTTTCTCCCAAAATTGTACCGATTGAAAGCTTGGTTTTACTTCTTTGGCTTGCTCTTACCTGACTTGGTACCATGATGTCCAAGATAACCAGTAGACAAATTATATAATCCGGAGTCAAAAGTCGGTAATATGAAAATAGTGTATTTAAGCAGTGATATATTTTCTACCGTTTTATGAAATTGCCCCATTATGAAACGCACCTGTTTGAGATCCCCGTAATTAAAATAATATTTTTACTTTCTCTCATCAAAAGGTCACAAAAAGTCAATTTTAAAATATCTTCTACAGCATAAAATGTATATGAAGGTCCACATTTATTGGTATTTTCTTCAAACCTGTACCAAAGAGAATACGGATATAAGAAAAAAACAAGGACTGTAAAGAAATATTACAACTTGGTAATTGATACACCTTAAGTCTTAAAACTTCGTTAAAAGTGTCTAGCTTTTGACGGTTTTGAACAAGTCAACAAATCTGGAGAATTCATATTAACTAGACTGGATTGAAAATAACTAGTGAGGCCAAAGATGTTATCGGAATGTATAAGGTGTTTTCTTCCAAAAGTCAACATTTTATTTGTTTCGTCCTTTAATTTATATGTTGAACAAAAAGATCAGAAATTGCTTTCGTTTGTTGTCATCTTTTTACTGCACATAGCAGTATTTAGTTTCTTCACTGGAGAGAAAATTCTAAGAAAGAAAACTAACTCATCAAAGATAAATTTAAGAACCCTGATAAAGGTTTGTTGATAAATTCAATAAGTATGACTATAACATCAACTAAACTAAATGAGCATGTGTTGTGCTGAATAATTTTTGCTTAAATTTACCTACCCTATAATGTAAACAGTCTATGATATTATCTAATTTTGGCTGCCCTTTCCTTAGTTTTGGTTTTGCTTGTTTGACCTTAGTTTCACATTCTGTAGATTCTGTTTTGCTTTCCCTCTCCAAAGTTGTTTCTGACTTCTCTGTCGTTTTAATCACGCCATTTCCCGTCTTTTCAGTTGTCTTTTCCACTTGCACTGCAGTGTTAGTTTCCACATCATGTTGCACTTTGTCTATAATATCCAGGGATTTATAAAGGAAATGATCGGACTTTGGCCTCTGCGGTTGTTGGACTGGTATTTGCGTGTGTGATCTATGGAACGTTTTTGGCCGTGGATTCAAATCACAACCAAGCTTTCGTAGAAATGGAATTGTTCTTATACCACCAGAACCTTCAGTGTCATACCTGTACATAGAAAATTTGTCTTTTACAACAAGTAGCACAAATCATTTCTTAAAGTGATGTTTTAAATAATTAGTTTGTTCAAAACCAAAATAACTTATTTGCTCATAATATTGAAAAGCTGATATACCCTCTTTGAATGCACGCCTGGCTAATTACATAAATAATTTATTTTGTTTTGTATATACATGTATTATCTTGTTCAGAAAAAATAACAGTTACCAAGCACACTGGTCATTGATATAATAATCCCTTAGAGGTTGTTTCTGAAAATTAAATTATTTGAAAGAAAAATTCAGAAAATCGCTGGAAATTAAAGAGCGTGTGCCTTTTTACCTTTAAAGTAGCAATTTAAATTCAAATCTGTCGTGTCATTTTTATCATATTTATGTTTCGTCTTTACGGGAGGGAATAACATTTATATATATTCTAAATATACTTTATGTAGTAAATATAGAGTGCCACCAACTCACCTATCCCACAAAACTTGGAAGTCTGAATCGTGCAGATAAATGCCGATGTGTGCGTATGCTTCTCGTAGTTGTGGAGGCACTATCATACCATCAGGTTCAAAACATATTGGAGGGAACACTTTCCTAGCATCTTCACTGAAAATAAAGAAATTGTAGTATATAAAGTTATGTGTTATCATCTTTGATATTTAGTGACTTTGTAAGGGTGACTAGTATTAATTCAGTCATAGATTTATATGTTGCTGCAGGAGTTTTATGATCTTTGTCGGGAGAAACAGTGGATATTACTTTTATTATGTATAGATAGTTATATGGAAACATTTCCCTTGGTTTTTGTTGGGTTATTTTTAGGAAGGGCTGTGTGTTATTCTTCAACTTGTGATGATTTTGTTAATTATTGGATTCATAACAATAAGATTTAATCTAAATCTCACACGTCATATGTACATATATATATACCAGTTTATGTCATGAACTTGGTCCAGTAATTTTATCAGTTTACGTTTTAAATTAGTTTAAGTATAGAACCTTTCGTAAACTTACATAGTTTTTAATTTACTTTTGAAGATGGTATCAGAGAATGGTGCAGATGTATATGGATCGTGCCTTTTCAAATCAAGTTTAAGTCTGTCTTCAGGGTGCCTGCGTTTTAATGCCTCCTCTAATGCTGATCTCTGTACTGGGCTTACCCATTGCTTTTGTACTGTCTGTAACGATAATAACATATATAATAATGTAATACAAGTCAACACTTTAATCAACGTTATACTTAAGTTTAGCACTTCGGTATTAATGAATGATAACATGGATGAAATGTTAATAATATAAGATATGCGTTTCAATATCCCCCGCCACCACTCAATTTTTTTAAAGGCAATTACTGCCATACTTATTCTGCTCTGTTAAACTTTGCATTAAATATCTGACAAAAAATGGTGGTGGCAGAGCGCTTCCAATGAAAAAAAATATAATTTCCAAGAGACACAACCCCCTCTCCCCGCCCACCAAAAACTTCATCGGCGCTAATTATCGAAATCGTCTTTTAAAATGCCAAGATCAACCTTTTGTATAAATAACATAATAGGATAACTAATGTAGGCTCGAAAGCGTTCACAATGTAATTTTCCTTAGCACATATTTACAACTTCTCGTCCAATCAAATTGCTTATATTTGCCTTCTAATTTTCATAGTTCATACTTTTCCCGTGTACTAAGTAACTACGCACGAATGACCACAAGGGTAAGATTTCATTGTATCGTAATCAAGATATTTAAAACAAAAATTGCCACTGGCTATTTTGAAATAAAATGCTGTGTTCCAAATTTAATTAAATAGTTTGTAATTAGTTTTCACGTTGATTTTTAAATATCCTGCTAAAATCATTGGATCTAAAAAATGTTTTTGACAATTGCAAATTGTTTTCATTTAAATAAAGGGTAATACATATGGTTCTTTATACCTTGATTAGAGTACAACGATATCTTAAAATTATGATAATGTATCATCCATGCTATTACTTTGTACACAAAAAAGTGTGTACTATGAAACCTTGTGAAGGGAAATTAAAGCAACTTGGTGATAATTTTTTAAACTTTCTTAAGGAAGGTGATCTATTTCGTCATGAATTGATTGAGTTATTGATTATCGGTTGCTTAATTTCCAGTGGCAAATATTTCATGCATGTTCAGGACGATGTCATGAATTGAAAAACTGTGATTATGTCTGAAGATAATGTGCCAATTATATATATATATATATATAAACATATTCTGATAAATCTTTTAGTTTCTTACTTTGAAATAATAAAAAAAAAAAAAAAAAAAAAAAAACACAAAACCTATAATCTCTGATCTATTTGTGGATGCTTTTTAATGCCTATCTGCTAAACTATATCTATGGGGACAAACTATCTAAAAATATGTTTCAAATTAATTATAGCTTAAGTTTTACTGTGAAATTAAAAAATGTTTTCAAAACATGTAAAGCTTCCACTGCAATTTAATTATTGCCTGCTTTTGGTCAATTTATTTGGTCATCTTACCATGTAAGAAGAACATGTATAGTAAAACACCGCTTTATATCAATATACATACTTACACCAGCAGCTACTATCTTTTCATTCTAGAGTCAAGGGCCTTTTGAAATCACATATTTTACAATGATACTAGTGAGTAGATTTACAAAACTTCGTTTATGAGCTCCGTTTTACAAACACCTGTGATACAAGTAGTCAGCCAAAATAAACTATCAATAGACCAATTAAAAGATTACTCGAGTTGTAAATATGTGCTAAATTGGATAGTCTATGAAAAGGTATATACTATGAAATTAAGAGCTCGGGGCAAGCCCCTCGCTCTAAATTTCATAGTATATACCTTTTTATAGACTAACCTAGACATATAACTTGAATTTTAATAACTTAGGTATAACTCCATTAGAAATATTTGAACGGAACTAATTTTCGAACGTGTTCAAGACAATGCAAAATTAACCTTTGATATACATTTCACAAATCCGTTAAATTAGTTCATCGTGATTGGTTTTCACACTCGCTCAAAATATGCTAACATAAACCTTTGGTGTTAATGTGGCAATCTCTTTTACATTTGAGTTGACCAAAACAACTGTATTTGAGTTTAATATACACGTACTAGTAGGTTAACCTACAATACTGTTTATGTAAATAATACATACAAAAAAATCATAGTGTATATTTTGTATTTAGCATAATCTAGTGTAGATGCTTTTTACGACACACCTGGTAATTGAGTCGCGAATTAAATTTTTCGTATTTTTAATTGCTTAATTGTAATAGTCGTACCTCATTTTCTTTAAAACATGCTACAAAGTTATCGAATGCTATGGTTTCCTTTCCTTCCAATCCAAGACTGTAATATAATATTATGGTTTTGTATTCATATAGCATTGAGTACAACTGATATTTTATCGAGAACATTCCAACAAATATAATGAAACTAAACACACACAAGATACTAAAACTCAAACAGCTAATTCATAGAGCAAAGCTTAAGACTTTTGAGAATTACTGAAAACTTTGTTGTTTATATTCAATTGCAATACTGAAATCACACACATCACTAAAGACAGGACAGATTTTGACCACAGATAACATTGAACTTTGTATCTATACTGCTGACCCAAAGGATAACGTGTGGTACATATAAGTATATGATCTATGTCTATTCTATACTGGAATTTATTCTACAGTTTGTGATATTCAATAGTTGTAATGTACCTACGGTATAGATATCGTTTAACGTAATAAAATTAAGTGATTTGGAAATTGTCTTACTATGTGCGTTCTGAAGAATCCTTGTTAAATGTGCAAATCCTCGTGCGTATTTAGTTAGCCTTTTATAAATCAAAAATCATCACGCCCTTATATTAAAAAAAAAACTTTTTCAATTGTAAATATACATGACGTGTAGAAGCTCTCATAATATCTGTCGACGATGTTGAAACACATCAACAACAGCCCGTACTATCCAGTGATATTTTCATTGTCTACACATCCTAGAGGACAAAACCGCCGACTGGGTACTAACAGCTTGTCGCGAAATGGAGACACAGAAAGAAAGAGAAATGAGACGACATTCAAACCACAGAAAGAGTTCATCTAAAGCACGTTCGGATTGGAATAATTGCCGACTGAGTGCTTTCCTGACATTTTTCTGGGTCATCAAAAGAGAATGGAACTACCACTCCGAATGACAACGACAATGCAGAAACTAATGAGGCAGGAGAGACCACTCAAACCATTGAGATTGTCTCGGCATCGGACACACCGGCCGAGTCCAACTCAGTTGAGATGAAGTGCATCCGCCTACAAAAGGCATACCATCGCAACTAATAACAGGTCCCCCGAGGATCAATCGACACTCAATAGAGAAGGACAGGAACGCTGTCTACTCAAAAGAGGGAGAAAATAATAGAAAATTCCAAACATCACACTATATATTTTTGCAGAAGACTTAATAGTTGAAATTGGAAGAAAATACCATCCTACTTGCTTGTATGGACAATCTAAAACCCATAGGTTTAATTAGACGGCGAGACAATTAGCAGTTCTACAAAAATGTAAAGAGAAGACACGACCATTGGCATGATGTTCGTGTTAGAAACACAACGTCAAAAAGATAGCAGAAAAGAACAAGTCAACATTATGAAATAAATGACGAGATCATAACATTCCATGTATAAGCCCCTGACTTGCAAATAAATAAAAAAAAAATGGAAATATACAAGTGTAGCTAGTTCGATCACGTGAAGCTAGTTAGATAATTTTACATCAATTAATCAACTACTCTGTATCCCAGTCCATCCATGTTTAGACATACTATGTGGATGTTAAACATGATCTAACTACTCAGGCGGTCATTCTTGCCTCTTCAGTCAAATCCGTTTTATAAAACTATGTCATTTTTTAAAACTTATCCAGCGGTTAGCGACTACGAAACAATGATAAACATACTTCTGTAAAGCCTGTTATATATGTAAAACTCAAGCCTTATCAACATGAATTTGTTGACTTAACACAAGTTTAAATAGACAGTTATTGAAATGTCATATCCCCGAGACTTCAATTTTAATATAAACCAATACACATTGAAATGAAGTTTAAATTGCTGCCATTGTATCCTTGAACGTTACTACTCATTGATATGGAATTTAAAATGATTGAATTGAATTGATAATCATAAAGTTGAGGACACTTCATTAACTGCGGCAGTGTATTTTGTATTTTTCAGGTCATTTGTTGCGAAATAGTTGCGAAATAGTATATCGCATTACAGTTGTTTATAGCATAACTGCAGTTTGTGAACATGTATAATCATCACTGAACATGTCAAATATAGTCAATCCTGTTATTAAATGAAGTGGGTGTCAATTTTCATGGTCTATATATATATATATAAACTGGTTACAGATATCATAGGAATAACAGTTTTTGTATTTTCAAGTATAAGGCGCATTTGCATATAAGGTTCCTACCTACACTCATTCCAAAGAGTCCCGGGGTATAGGAATCGGGCCCAGTTATTTTCGTCTGTTGGTACGATGCTCCCACAGGGTGTCTGTTTAATTGGCTGAAAAGGGACGTTCGATGCCTCGTGAAACAAAAGTATCACGTCAACTTAATTTAATTAAATTCCAGATCTGACAATGGCCAATTTTTTCTCTACATTCTGAAGAACTTGTAGTGATTCGTGAAATGTTTCTTTATAATACACACCTTAAAAGATTTGGGACGGAAAATGTATATGCTGATGAAGTGGACAAAATAGCAATTAAAACGGAGCGTTGTCAGATGCACAATAAAGATTAGGTAAACGGGCTAACGCTAGACGTGTAGCCAACAACAAGAAATCAATCAGTCTACGGATCCACGTAAAATATAGTCTGTCACATTGACTAATGAAATACCTCAAAGTGTCCATTAAAAGTAATACACAGATATATTTATTATGCATGTACATGTAATTTATAATTACTTACGATTTTAGAAACTTTGAGTATTGTTCTCTTGTGATAAATCCACACAGGGAATATAGTATCCGAAGCAATGCTTCTCTGTAACAAAAGAATGGGATAAAAAATTGTGTACAAATGATAATCAGAAATTGAAATATGTATAAAAATGGTAAAGCTTATTCGAAAATAAAACGCATTCATAAATATTCATTTTTTTCCCAATTATTTACTAGTCTTATTCATTTATTGATATTAGTTGCATATTTCAACATGACCATTAGACAATCAGAAAATTAAAATGTGTTTAAAACTCTGCAAATCAAATATAGATCTGCAAATTAAACGTGTATCAATATTAAAAATAAATTTTTATTCACCAAATAAGGGCCTCAAGAAGACCTGTAAAACATGTATTATTCGATAGGAATATTATATAAGAAGTATATAAATGACAATCTTGATAGCATTATCGTTGACTGTGACTAAACTCTGTGCACTGGTACTGTTATATATTCCCGACTTACGAAAGACTGTCTTATTCCTTCTTGCAGTGCAGAGTATCAAAATCAACAGCAATGGACACAAAACCACAGCCATAGCAAAAAGACATACATTTGTATATATTTTACTAGTTCGGTTTATCAGGATGGAGTAATTACCTTGACACGTTTCCTTGGCCAGTAGGATCATTGGCTCTGAAAAGATGGCGTAGTCCGTAATATCCTGTCGTTAGTCTTTCTCGTACTATGTCAGTCAGCTTTATAATAAAAACAAATAATAATGTAATACAAAATATTGAAACCAGAATAACATTGTTGTCAATAAAGAAAACCAGAATGGAAACTTTTTGAACCCTTGTACTTAGTTTATCTATATTAATCAACAAGCTTTATCATGACTTTGTGGGGTATATTACAAAGAAGATGACTTAAGCTGTGGGGAATATACAAAGAAGATGACTTAAGCTGTGGGGTATATACAAAGAAGATGACTTAAGCTGTGGAGTATATACAAAGATGATGACTTAAGCTGTGGGGAATATACAAAGAAGATGACTTAAGCTGTGGAGTATATACAAAGAAGATGACTTAAGCTGTGGAGTATATACAAAGAAGATGACTTAAGCTGTGGGGTATATACAAAGAAGATGACTTAAGCTGTGGGGAATATACAAAGAAGATGACTTAAGCTGTGGAGTATATACAAAGAAGATGACTTAAGCTGTGGGGTATATACAAAGAAGATGACTTAAGCTGTGGAGTATATACAAAGAAGATGACTTAAGCTGTGGGGAATATACAAAGAAGATGACTTAAGCTGTGGAGTATATACAAAGAAGATGACTTAAGCTGTGGGGTATATACAAAAAAGATGACTTAAGCTGTGGGGAATATACAAAGAAGATGACTTAAGCTGTGAGATCTATAACTTAAGCTGTGAGATCTATAACTTAAGCAGTGTGGTATATACAAAGAAGATGGCTTAAGCTGTGGGGTATATACAAAGAAGATGACTTAAGCTGTGGGGAATATACAAAGAAGATGACTTAAGCTGTGGGGAATATATAAAGAAGATGACTTAAGCTGTGGAGTATATACAAAGAAGATGACTTAAGCTGTGGGGTATATACAAAGAAGATGACTTAAGCTGTGGGGTATATACAAAGAAGATGACTTAAGCTGTGGGGTATATACAAAGAAGATGACTTAAGCTGTGGGGAATATACAAAGAAGATGACTTAAGCTGTGAGATCTATAACTTAAGCAGTGTGATATATACAAAGAAGATGGCTTAAGCTGTGGGGTATATACAAAGAAAATGACTTAAGCTGTGGGGAATATACAAAGAAGATGACTTAAGCTGTGGGGAATATACAAAGATGATGACTTCAGCTGTGGGGGTATATACAAAGAAGATGGCTTAAGCTGTGGGGAATATACAAAGAAGATGACTTAAGCTGTGGAGTATATACAAAGAAGATGACTTAAGCTGTGGGGAATATACAAAGAAGATGACTTAAGCTGTGGGGAATATACAAAGATGAAGACTTAAGCTGTGAGATCTATAACTTAAGCAGTGTGGTATATACAAAGAAGATGGCTTAAGCTGTGGGGTATATACAAAGAAGATGACTTAAGCTGTGGGGAATATACAAAGATGATGACTTAAGCTGTGAGATATATAACTTAAGCAGTGGGGTATATACAAAGAAGATGACTTAAGCTGTGGGGTATATACAAAGAAGATGACTTCAGCTGTGGAGTATATACAAAGAAGATGACTTACGGTGTGGGGTCTATACAAAGAAGATAACTTAAGGTGTGGGGTATATACAAAGAAGATGCCTAAAGCCAAGTATTTTCAACGTTCTACCATTTTCAAGGTTAAGCAAATATGCATCTATGACATCTACCGTTTTATAAATTATAGCAAGCACATGTATTGACAAAATGATACTTGCATTACAAAGAAGATGTATTGCAAACTTTTTAATTGTAAGCACCGTGCACCCTTTTTAAACCATTACAAAGCCATCAATCTTATGAATTGTTAGAAATTATTTACAAACGTCCTTTTAAGTTTATGTAGTAGCTTCAGGTCAAATATTATTTACATGGATTAGGGAGTTAAAACAGTAAATATTAAAGTCATAATTAAAACGAAAGAGCCATTGTTGTGTATTAACCGAAGCAAATAAATTAAATCGCTAATCATCTCATTGTCATAATACCATAATTACCTTTATTAAACCTATTATTCCATCAATGGAATTTCTATAAGCCTTTGTATTGAACAATATCTTGAATGTTTATAAACGCATATATAACATAGCAAGAATCAAAACAAGGGTCCATAGGTGACCACATATAATGCAAAGTTTCTTATTTTACATGGAACTTCTGGCGTTAGTGTAGTAGTTAAAAATGAATTCTCCGGTTACAGACTGCAGAAAAACTAGTATCTATTTGTTTTGTATTTTGGTTTGTGTCGCCAAACAAGAATGAAATATTTCCCACTAGTTGATTAAACAGCAATCCCAGAAAATGAAACATAAATGGGTATTATGTTAAGCTTTTTTGCATCTCACATATTTATTTGTTATCTGAGTGATTTCCGACGTATCTTTATAGAAAAGTACGTACTTGCTATTAGCTGCTTTTCTGGTAGGTGAAATAACTACATAAAGACGAGAGAGAGAGAGAGAGAGAGAGAGAGAGAGAGAGAGAGAGAGAGAGAGAGAGCTGTTAGCTCCATAGGACATCAGCATAAAAAGAAAAGATATATATATATATACAGAAAGCATTGTTAAGAAATTGAATTGCTCTTACCTCCAGGACTTTATCTCTAGCCGGAGAAAACTGTAAGTCATCGCATTTTACAGCTGATGCTTTGGGTCCCACTAAATATTCTGTAACATATAGAAATAATTAGTGAGAGGTTAAAAAGCGAATAAAAGGCGAGCTCACAAAATTGAGCTTTAGCTGAGTATCTGATCTCCCTTTATATATTTCAGTTATTTAGCAAAATCAGTAACGTCACAGTACCGAAATTGCACCGAGTATCAAATTTGTACCCATTTTGCAAAACAAAAGTTACGGATAATCTTATAGGTTTCCTTAAAGACTAAAGAATTCGGTTTTTTATTAATTACCATAATGCATTTCTTTCAGAATATCTAAATATACTTATAGATACACAAAACAGTCACATTATATATCGACAGATGAAGTCTCCAGTGTAAAAAAAGAAATACCGAAACGCAGAGTGCGACGTCCACAAAAAGTTGACTTGTTTTTAAATTAGCAATTAAATATGTGTCGGGCATCCATTTCTTACAAAATGCTTAACCTGTCAAATGATCTAAAAAAAAGTAGTAAAATAAAACAAAACATCAGCTGTTCGATTTTTACGGATGTTCAGTAAAGCATTTGTGTAATTTATGTACTCTTCGTTAAAAAATCTTGAATCGTTTGATAAAGGTCGGTTCAAACCTATTTAACTATATATATCAGTTTGGATTCAAAATTAAATTTGTGGAACTATATAGTTAGTAAAGATATATCTACAAAATAAACACAGTATTGAAACTCTTGTTTGTTTCAAGAATAAACGAAGGTGAAAAAACTGTAAAAACATGTGCAATTTGGATAGCCTCATGTTAGGCCATAAGTAATTCGATTTAGATATCTCAACAAATATAGATTAAATGTAATGTAAAAATGTAATACTTTATTGAATATTACAAATTGAAATGAAATTTATTACGACTAGTCTGTATTGCTTTAAATTCATTGATCGAATTGAACATTTAAATGAAATCTACAGCTGTTTTATAAGAAATCCCTTCACCAACATATAAACAGACAAAAAATCAAACATCAAACACACCAACACACGAACCCGTATATAACGTTATATGTGAAAGCAACATCAACCATACTGTAGCACTGAAAATCATGACCTAAGAATTAAGCTTAATCAATGGGGAAACACATATACTATGTTGTACTATTGCAAATTTTTCTCTTTTCTGTATTAAATAGTGTAATTGTTTTCTACGGACAAATGCTTCAAATATTTTAAACTGAACATTAACATGGCTTTAAAAGCTGATTTCTGTGGTAGAAAATAGCACCATACATCGTATTGCTAATTCTTAGTTTGACTTCAGTATTAACAGGGACGTACATTGTACTTGTACGAATTCCAGCTCAATAAAAGCCACAATATATTCAAGCCAAACAAAATATATGGTAAAATCAGACAACGAATCTTTTTTTTATCACACAGTGCTATGGTTGATAGTGGCATTAACTTGTTTCCGTTTCCTGTGCTGTTGAACATTTATTTTAACCTAATCACAGCAATAATATGCCACGCTCCACCAAACTTACTAAGACGAAAAAGTCTATACCGCCATAGCTTTAAAGGTAAACCGCGATACACCAATAACTTTACTGTGAAAACAAAGCAGTTGTAAGTTATAGACAAGACAAGTTATAAAGGGGTTGCCCATAATATTTAGAAGGTGTCTGGTTAAGCTTGCCTCTGCAACTCAGTTAGATTAATCAGACCACTCAGAAAACCTCTTTGTTCTTTAACTAATTCCACTATTTTTTCAATGGGAGGTAATTGAAGGCGATCTTTCTTCTTTCCTTTGACAGTGTATTCAACTATTCCAATGTCAACTTCTGTGTTTTTCCTATGACTATATTTTTGTTCCTCTGCTTCCTCTATTTTTGGAAGAAAGCCAGTTGGCATAGTGGACTTCCGGTAGGAATATGGTGGCACAAAATCGCACACTTGATCAGTTGGAGGGAAAAAGGAACATAATATATAAAAAATTCTTCAAAAGCAAAACAAAGCTGCTAGATTTGTATGAAGAAAAGAAAATTTACAGATAATAAATACGTGATAAATACACATTTAGCTAGGATCATTTATTTCTGATAAAGATAAATGGTTTTTACTTTTTGTATCAATCATTGCATTTTTTAAACATTAGACATTGACCAAACAAAGCTTTAGTTCTTCTCATTTACTAGATAATATAAGTGTTATACAATACAACATGTGGAGTATTTGCTTACAGGAAAACGTAAGCTTTAACAGGGGAATTAACTTGTCAAACATGTGCTGTTTACTACGCAAAAAATCGAGGTAACCAAATAACAGAAACACTGAAATAAAGTATTCACTGAATGTTTGTGAAGTTTAATCAATAGCTCATCAATATATTGGCCAAGATAAAACTAGATAATCCTAGATAACGTGACGTATCCTTCAACAGAGTATACTGTATCTAAGGGGTACGAACAGTTGCTTTTATATCTTGATATTAAATGCTTAGCTGTGACAGTCTATAACTAATCATGAGGGCAAAAACTGGAAAAAAATGATCAGATAACAATTATAACCATCAAACAATCGTAAACTAAACTGACGACCATGTTAATAATTACAATTCTTTATTGTAATGTTAAATATATTGGAAACAATTATCGAAAAGAACTACATTTGAAATCAAAGGATTAGACCCGATAAGACCCCTTTTTGGCCCCAAAATATAGCATTTTTACAAATTTGTTGAAATGTAAACTTTTAGCTCTTTATTGGAAATTAGAATACTTTTGTTCCATTAAAAAAATACTGTTTTGACAATATAATGCACACGCAATATGTAATAGCATCATAAATTCATGCAAAATTACTGAAATCTTCCTAATTGTAGCATTTGTGCTAATTTTAAGACGGTTTTCGTCTAAAATGGAAGTGGCCGCATTTGTGTTCAGTCTTGATATTTAAATATATGTTGTATTTGATGATAATACATAACATATATAAAGGTTGAGACTGAACACGAATGCGGCCACTTCTATTGTAGACAAAAACCACATGAAAAGTGACGTTTTATGGCATATTTGATAGATTTTTCATATTTAAGGTTGAATTTGAGCATCTGAAATGACCAAATCAGTTCAAATCTGTAACATAAACCAATTGAATCGACTGAAGTAGACACTTAAGTGTCTAAAATATGTCAAAAATCTTTCATCAGATGTACTTCGAATTTTAGGCCAAAACTAGCCTTTACTTGGTACTACACTTTTAAAGAAATGCAAGAGAAATGATCAAAGCCGCGTCAAAAAAGGAATGAATATGTGATAAGCTATTTAACAAATATCTGGAACTTTAATTACACATTTAGCAGCTTGCATAAATTGTTATTATGTTTATTACAGTCAACACTAAATGTTTACTAATTACGAGCACTGATCTATGAAAAATGGGTCTCATCTGATATATCCCTAAAACAAGATATGATTATTAAAATTCTTGACAAATAATGTAAGACACCTTTAAACATGAAACTTAGTAATAAGTTCAACCATTAAATGTTTATTTTAAAGATTTTACAAGTTAGGTATTCCGTGTATAAGTTGGAACGGGTCGATGTTTAAATATAACCGATATAGCTTACCACACAACTCTCGGTAATATTGTCAGATTATGTGATAATTAAATAGAAAATACAAGCATTTTAATATAAATATCAAATGTATGTATAGATAAATGGAAAACGGTACACAAGAAAGTTGTTAAAACTATTTCAAGGATTTGAAAAATTAAAACACCTGAAAGCCTTACAAAACTGGCTAAGAACATACGTGTAGACCTTCGTTTACAAAAAAAAATGTCTTCATATTTCATCTCCTACTATCATATAATTTATTGTTTAATTATATTAAAATTTCTCTGTCCGCTAACATACCGCGAAATTAGAAAGCATTTACATGTCCTTATGATAATGACATTTAAATGTAAACATTAAATTTTAAAGGCAATAAACGTAACAAAACATTTATATAATCTTATATTATTGTTCTACAGTAATAATATTCACGTTGTGGTAGCTTTATGGCTCACCACCAAAACATTGGAGTCTACCTGCATGATAATCATTGACTATTCATACGATATTATATTAGACGATATTAAGCAATAATGAATAAAGAGACATTCTTTGTTGATATAATTCTTTTCTTTAAACGAATTTTAACAAGCTTTATGTGCTTTTTACGGATGTAAAGTATTGCTGACATGACACTTTATTGTTCGTCTTGTATGGGAAATAAATAATTCTTTAATACAAGATTTGTGCAGATATAATTTTTGTTGTATGGGAACCAAAGTTTCATCCTGAAGACTTTTTATGTAATCTATGCTAATATAGCTACACAATAATGAAAAATTTGCTAAATATGAACAATTTGTATGATAACGTAATTCTTACCTGGTGGCCATTGTAGTATTCTATCAGGACAGCTCTTTCTTCCATCGAGAATAACCTCTGCATCTCTCTCGTTATTTACAGCAGTGTTCGACCTTCTCACATTGGTACCAAGATCTTGTTTTGTTCTGTTGGACGATACATCAGTTTTCTGTCTATGTAAACCAAGACTTGATGTACCACGTATAGTTAAATCTGTCATGTTCCCTAGATTAGCCATAGGATGGGTAATGAGGGGGATATTTTTTCCCCTCCCCGACCCTATGGATCTCGAAGAACGGGGCACTGCCATACTGCTTGCCATAGCTGTTCTTATCCAAAATGTCCTTCAGTAGTTGGTCAATTAAAACACATTATCCTTATTTATTTTTCACAATAGTACATTAAGTCACTAATTTAATACCCTAAGTTATTAAATCAAACATATAAGACCGGTATAATATTACACCTAACGGACTTGACCCATGTCATATCAAACATCCGCCATCTTAGTGTACATAATTGTCATGGGTAACAAAGTAGTTCGGTGTATTTAAATCACATGACTTCTTCTTTCGTCTTTTCATACATTTTTTTATACTATATTATGGCGTTTTAAAACGTAAAGTCAATATTCAACGAACAAGGAAAATGAAATCAAAACATTTGACATATTATTTATTTTATATCGTATAGGATAATAGAAATGTTAAACCCGAATTTGATCCCTCTTTTCATAAGGTACATTTCACTATCAATGTAACGTGAATTGTACAATAATGTTAAGTTTATTGTATAAATCATGACACCGGGTTATATAAAATATATTTTTATATGAATTACAAGATTTTTAGGTCTATATTGTCGTTTATATTCGGATCATTTGTACACAGCAAAATAATATGTAAATGTCAACTATTTATAGGTACTTTATCACAATAATAATTATTGTAATTATATATATATATTCCAACAAGCAAGAACTGGAATAACAGTATGTGAGTATAATAGAAAACTAACCTTAAAAAATACAAAATGGGCCCTTAAAACACAGTCAAACATACAACATTAAAAATGATGCCGTTGCAAGACAACACAGTTACATTTTTAACTAGAATGATTCCGTGTGCTCTGACACTAGTTATATACATTAAGACATTACAACAAACTCAGTGTATACTGGCATAACAGACACAACTTGCTGGACTAATCATGACGTATTTGCTTGGAAATAAAAGTTTCCCATCATTGTTGTGTTCTCATTGTAAATCAAACTGCTGCGTGCTACGACTTTGATTAATAACTTCCTTCAATAACAGATCTGAAAGGGCCAATGATTTAAAAAAGCAAAAATGCATACCACCTGCAGAGAAAACCATATAACCAAAAATGGTCTTAAAAAGAATAATTTGTGAGTGGAACGAGGACAATTTAAAATATATTCGTAATAAATTTTATTTTTAAAGTAAGATTCTCATCTAATGATAATTCAGGCGCGTCCATTTTAAAAACATTTTAACAGAACCACTCGTTTTTAATTATTACTGTAAATTGTTTTGATCAAGTAGAGATAAGAGCAATGTATTATACGTTATCGAATTCCGTTTATTTTCTGGTTTAAATTGTTTGCATAGAGACATTTAAATATGACCCAGTAGAAAAAAAATATCAATAATTAAACTAATTACATGGGAATCCTTGTTATTCAACTCAATATTCTATGAAAAACAATCATACAAAACAAAAACAAAAAATGACGTATGATTCAATGAAATTGCTTTTCGCTATAACTCAGATAGAGAAAAGAACGATAAACGTAGCTGTTTTAAAACAAAATTTAAAGAAAATAAAACAGGAAAACAAAAGAAACCTAAACATGTTCAGATACTATAGTAGGATGCGATATCGTTTAGGTTGAAAATTAACAATGCATGCCTCTAAGTAAATGTCCCCATTTGTACAGTTACACTTGATTGATTATCATCTCGGTACCATCAACACAATAGCCTTCCTGATATTTTAACACTCTATGATAATCGTTATGTGGCCTATTGATGTAGAATTAAAGGAACATTACAATTTTTTTTCAGCTCTCATCGATAACTTGCAATTTTTTGTTCTTGCTTTATATTTATATTTATGAGCGCTTCCGTTGTAATTTTTACATGTACTTAACTTACACAGTTGCACATATGTGTGTCTCTTTTAAGACAGATCCGTGTGATTTTTGGAGATCTTGTGTTGGTATTGGCCGTTTGTGATAGAATTCTGACAACATTAAGCTTACACTGGCTGTATTTCAAAAATATATACTTAAACCAAATGATCTGCCTTGCACTGTTACAAGCTCTGTCCTACGAATCATTAGACCTATCCCTAGTGTCGACATGAACAGTTCTTGGTCAATGATTTCAGATAATAGACTCGATTCTTTGGGTGGCAATCATGTGCTATATATAGAGCTGTATTATTTGAAAAAAAAAAATTTTCTTTTTCGATCGTTCTCTATATTATTAGAATCACACGAACAAGTAACAAGTCGTGATCCATTTTAGAAATAGGCAGGTTTTTTTTCCCTTATTTTTTGCGACAATCGCGGTCGGCGAAACTTCGATGGCTGGTCGACGAAGGGATAAACACTTAATATCCTCAAAATGATATCCCCATCCTCCTGGAAGAAAGAAACTTTAAAAGAACATAAGGGAAAGCAAATAACAACAGGAAATTTAACGCAGATTTTGATATCAAGATTATCATATTAAGGACGAAGTCCGAGGTTCAATATAATCTAACAGGTCCATATATAACGTATTGACTGATTGAAAGTCTTTAATTTATATATTACATATGTCCAGTAAATAGTGTATTATTGAAATGGACTTCAATGTTCTTGCTGTGTATTTTACATTGTATATTGCAAGATATTGACCGTCAATATATATATATAAATAGAAACATAGCATTTTGCAAGATTTTTAATATTGACCGTCAATATATATATAAATAGAAACATAAACATATAGAGTCTATCCTTTGCATCACGTGATCGTGATAACTAATAAAAAAGTAGAATGCTACACCATATGTAATATAAAGCTTATAACAAAACACTTTCGCCGACGCCAGATTGTTATCCCTAGGCCCAAATCGCGCATTCTGCGACTTTCGTCGCCGGCGAGACAATAAAAGCGATTTCATTACGCACGATACGTCTTTCTGTAATGACATTTATCACATTCCCTCGAGACAACAGATAGTCAAAAATAAAATATTTGTGAGCATAAAAACCAAACCATTCTAGACAGAATAACCAATACCGTCATATGTCAAATTTGTTTGTAGTTTTTCAACCTGAATTGTTTTTATGTACGTTCTCCCATGTTCCACTGTTATTTAGCCTATTTAGCTGATCAGAATAAAAGAACGGCAGGGTTCAGTGATCAAGCAACATTTTTAACACCATATGTTATTGTGTGCTTGTCAAATATCACGAACCTCGCCAAGTATTGTCGTCATTTTGTTCTTTTATTGAATTTAGGTGCTGATGTAAGCTCTTTGTCCTCTATCAAAATCAACATGTTTTCTAGACGCAGAAAGATTAACAGAAAGACTTGTTGTGTCCTCATTCTGTATATGTCTAATACCATGTATCAACCTCGAGTTGTATTTTCGTGCGTTTTTTTTTTTTTTTTTTTTTTTTTTTTTTTGGTTACTTTTTCATAACATATTCCAAAAACACATATACAACAACATGTTATTAATCTGCGCAAATTTATAACGTTGCTCTATGGAACATTTAGACTTACAACGGAGTATATTAAAACCGGAATAATACATAAAAAAGATAACAGAAATCACAAAAGTACTGAACAGACCACACAAACCACCAATACCCGATTCCTCCAAAAATAAAATAACCGACATGCAATGTACTTACAACTAACCCCACATTGAATGTGCTTGATTTGTACTTTTTATCAGATACTTCATTTGTAAGCTGACTTTTATAAAATCCTAGCACTATAGTGCGTGATATTGTATGGTATTTTTCTATGTAGATGTGTTGTGAAATATATTTATATCAAGCTATTGCTTAGAGTGCTTTTTATTGTATTGTTGTAAGTGCGTATCTTTCTATACATTTTGATATTCACGTCTCCCTTAATTTTTATTTGCACTGACAATAAAGGCTAACTTTGGCGATTTGAAGACTTGATATTGTTTTTTTTTTTTGTCAATTTTGAAATACTCACTGGTTAAAGAACACATAATAACACAACTCTTTACAAGAACACGAATATAGACACACCTTAAAACAAAAATAAGCAATTTTTTATTATATCATGTCAAGATAACATATTACCAGCGTTAACTGGCATAAGCTTGTGTGTTGTAAACTGCTGTTTGTCTTTTCGTCGTTTTTTTTCTCCATAATTTTGTCGGTCTCTCTTCGACAAGTTTCGACTCGTATGTTCTGATTTTCCCTTTGATATCTTCCGCCTCTTTTTATCTAGTTTCAAATATTCTCAAGAATGAAACACGCATACATGTAGACTAGTACATCGCCGTTAATTGACAAGTTTGACAATACTTTGCATATTCCGAAGGCATACTGAATATTTTACGAAGGAAACCAACCTAGTATACATGCGACCTACGACGTAACACCAGTTTGAGATCGATTCTCTTGAAAGCATGAAACAAGCAGTGAAACAAGCAGTGAAACAAGAGAAGCCAACAGAAAGACTGTTTCTACCAGCAAACCATCATTCTTATACATGTAAATAGATGATTTACATTATTTTTTTCTAATGATTTTAAATTACACAGAACTTGGAAATTAGTTTACGTGCTCATCACCGGATTAATTATTACAGTTTGATACGACATATTTCAAATCTTTGGGTTAGATTAATTTGTAAAAGATTTTTTTTCAAGTATGAATTACATGACAAGAGTTTTTCAATTTTGTCGAATTTTATTTTCAGCTTATGACGACTTTAGAACTTCTGCATAACTCGTGTTGCAATGAACAACGCTTTTGAAAATACTTTTTTTGTTATTAAAACGTACTTTCATAACGTCTTTATTATCAATGGCTTATTGGATTTAAAACTTGGAACATACAATACATGGAAAACAGGTCGTGGCATGGTGTTAGAATTCCAACTGACTGTATTTTTTTTTTATTTGAATATTTCAAAATCGATTTACATTATGAAAAAAATCAAAGTGTTAACTCCAAGGGTGACTGGGAAATAGAAATTTGGTCACTCTTGGCCTTATTCGAACCGGCAGTAAAACCCTTGCCAAAGTGGAGCGTCCGTTTGGTTGTGCGGTATACATAAATACGCAACCACGTTCGATCAGAATGGAGACGTCAAATCCGATGCCTCGTGTTGAGAGAGTGCCATGCTACCTACACGTGTAGAGTCCTTGCAACAATTATTTAAGGGGTCCGTAGGTGGCCTGTTGCAAAGCTTAAATACTATCCCTGTCCAGTATAACCCTCATTTTCCAGTGGAAGTCCAAATTTCCCTCCCTTCATCGCGGTCGACCCATATTACAGAACCTACCCATTGCATTTATTGTTAATTTA